GGGAGAGAGAAGAAAAAGAATGGGAAAACTTATTTTGCAAAGGGGAAAAATGCTGTCGCTTTAAATCGGAACTGAGCATGCCTTGCTGTGGAATTCTGGAAGTTGAAGTCCACAACTCTAAAAAGCTGCCTCACCAGTCATAAAGCTCACCGCACGTCACAGTCTAGGGTAGGGTGTTCACTTACCATTTTCTTCCCTATTTTAACTTGTGTTCCTAATCTGATTTTTGTGGTGCTTTTTTTGATAGGTTGGACTGTTTTTCCCTTTGTGTGAAGGCAGATGCAAAAAATAAGTTACGGTATTTTTTGGAGTATAAGATGCACCTTTTTTGCCCCCAAAAGACAGTGAAAATCTGGGTGCATCTTATACACTGAATACAGCATTTTTGACCTATCGAAACCCGATCCCCTTTGCAAAAATGGACATGCAGAAGGTTTGGGAGGCTTGCAAAGTGCTCCTGTGGACTGGAGAGGACAAAAACAAGCATATTTTTTTTGCTCATTTTTGCCCTCCCCATCCCTCAGGAGTACTCTACAAGCCTCCCAAAGCCTCTGCATGCCCTTTTGTTTTTTGCAGAAAATGGTCCATTTTTTTGCTCATTCCCCACCCCCCCAGCCCCCAGGAGCACTCTACAAACCTTCCAAAGCTCTGCATGCTCCTTTTAAAGCAAAAAATGAAGCATGCACAGGGTTTGGGAGGCCTGCACAGTGCAGAAACTTTTTAAAATTTACCTCTTCAAAATCATGGTGCCTCTTATACTCTGACTTATAGTCCGAAAAATACGATAAGTAGTTCTGCTTTCTCCCTGTTGCTTGGCACCTTTCTCCCAGCAATGGACCAATTGTTTCCTTGCTTTTTTCTTTTTTTAACATGTTGGAAGAAGCTTTTTTTTGGTTATTTTTTTACTTTACATTTGTTGCAAGCTTTTTGTTGCAAGCCTTTATTTTAGTGAGTTTTAGCTTTCCTCACTTTATCTTTACAGGCTGGGACTATTTGCTGCTGCCTTAGTTATTTGCCCCTTATTCCACTTTTTATACTTGTCCTTTTTGTCTTTCAATTTGTCAGAGAGTTCTTTATGCAGCCATGCTGGTTTCTTTTGAGAGCTATTATTTTTCTTCTTCATTGGTATTGTATTAGACTAGGCTTTTATAATCTCACTTTTCAAAATTTCCCAAGCTAAGAAGTTGTTTTCCCCTTGAGGATTCTCATCCATGGAATCCTTCCCAAGCTCTCTCTGAATTTATTGAAATTAGCTCTCTTAATGACCAAGACTCTTGTTTGACTTTGTTCTACTACTTGTGTTTGTATAATGTTGAATTCCAATATTGCATGATCACTTGAACCCAAGGTTCCTGTAGCTTCAACACCTTCTATCATTTCATCTCTGTTAGTGAGAATTAAGTCCAATATGGCTGATCCTCTTGTTCCCTTAGTTTAGTTTAAAAGAATGTCACACACTTTACAGGAAGGCCTTGCAATTAACTGTAGAATTAAATTCCTCCTAGTTACATTTATCTTCCTTTCCACATCCTGGTTGAGAAGAATTCCACGGATGAGAATCCTCAAGGGGAAAACAACTCAAGAAGCTTGAGAAATTTTGAATAGTGAGATTATAAAAGTCCAGACTAGCACAATACCAATGAAGAAGAAAAATAATAGCTCTCAAAAGAAACCAGCATGGCTGCATAAAGAACTCTCTGACAAATTGAAAGGGAAAAAGGACAAGTATAAAAAGTGGAAAGAGGGGGC